AGGGTGGCCGTGGGCTCCAGGGGGTGGTGGGGTGGTGGTGGTGGCTGGAGACCCCCTGGGATTACAACCAGGGTTCCCTCCAAACCGAGTCAGTGCGGGCCGGCTCGCCGTTTTTCAGCCTCCCCGGCTCACATGTAGCGGGAACTCGGCTCAGGGAGAAGGGAGGGGCTCCGGGGCAAACTGATTTAGGCAGCTGCCAAATCGCTCGCTCACACCCTTAATGCCCGTAGCTCACAAAGTAGGATTTTTGCTCGCAAGACACTCCACAGGCTTAGAGAGGAGCATCGCTTGTCTGTCTGTCGCAGCAGAAAAGAGCCAGAGTCCAGGAGCTCCTTAAAGGATAACAAAACTTGTGGCAGGGTGGGGGCTTTCTTGGGTCACGGCTCCCTTCTTCAGAGACAGCCTAGTCCAGGTGTTTCCCAGCATGGACCCGATAGCCCTACCCAGAACATCGGGAGGGGGAAGCACCCTGGGTTTTTTTCCCGGGCCACGAGAATGGGAGATGTTGCTGGCGACTACTAATAAAGGCACTTGGCTAGCAAGTAGGTTTTAGGGTTGCCAGCTCCGGGTTGGGAAATACCTAGAGGAGGGTGGGGTTTGAGGGGGGAGGCACGGACTTCAATGGGATATAATACCAGAGAGTCCACCTTCTAAAGTGGCAGTTTTCTCCAGGTGAATTGGTCTGTGTTTGCCTGGGAATCAGTTGTAATCCCAGGAGGTCTCCAGCCACTGCCTGGAGGCTGGCAACCCTTGCCAGTCTCCAAGTGGGGCCTGGAATTATGACTGAGTGCCAGTTTGGTGTAGTGGTTCAGTGCGCGGACTCTAATCTGGGAGAACCGGGTTTGATTCCCCACTCCTCCACTTGCACCTGCTGATGTGACCTTGGGCAAGCCATAGTTCTGATAAGAGCTGTCCTTGAAAAAAGAGCAGTTTCTGTCAAGAGCTCTCTCAGCCCCACCTACCTCACAGGGTGTCTGTTGTGGGAAGGGGAAGGGAAAGGAGATTTTAAGCCGCTCTGAGACACCTTTGGGTAGTGAAGGGCGGGGATATAAATCCAATCTCCTCCTCCTCCTCCTCCTATAGAGGTCCATTCCCAGGGTGGGGGGGTGGATGGTATCACACCTCCACTGAGCTTCCTCCTTTCCCAGACTTTGCCCTCTCCTGGCAGTGTCCCCATATCTCCAGGAATTTCTTGAACTGGTGTTGGCAGCTCTGTAGCATTGTCAGGTGTGTGGAGGGAGAGACATGCATCTGAGAGCAGCTCTTTGCTTGTGTACTTCTGTGTACTTTTATCCTGCCTTTTCTCTAAGGAACTTAGGGCAGCATCCCTAATTCTTCCCCCCCCCCCATTTTATTCTCATGACAACTTGTCAGTTAGGTTTCTCTGAGAGAAAAATGACTGCCCCAAGGTCACCCAGCAAGTTTGATGGCATGTGAGCATTTGAACCCAAGTCTCCTGGATCTCAATCTGACTCTTTAACAACTGCACCGCCCTGACACTAGTCAGTGCCTCAGAATTTCAGCTGCTGAAGGAAAACACCTAAGCCCTGTCTGGAGAAGTGGCAGTTAAACTGCTCCTTTTTCTTCCAGCTCTGTCCCTCTTTCAATGGTTTGAAGGCCCTGATTGGCTGCTTCTGGCTTCTCCAATAATCCAACAGGCTTAGAAGGGGACTGCCAGATTCATAAGAAAAGGGACAGGCTTAGCCCTGTCTTGTCACAATGAGTATTTTTTGGAAAAAGTTTGAGTCCAGTGGCCCCTTTAAGACTAACAAAGTTTAATTTTGTGTATAAGCTTTCATGTGCACTCAAACTTTGTTCTGTTGTTTCAGACCAACACGACTACCCACCTGATTCTATTTTTTTGAAAAGCTCCCTATAGGCTAACAGTTAACCTGTATATTCCATTTTTATTTGGTCCTTCCTGCACCTGTATATTCCATTTTTATTTGGTCCTTACTGCAAGGTATCGTGTGTGTGGGGGGGTGATTTACGGCTCTTCTGCTCCTCTTTTCCTTGCACCAGCTCTCTGTAGTGTTAGACTGATTGATTCCATTGAGATTGATGCTTTGCTGAGGACCGGAACCCATGTTATGACTCTTGAAAACGACTGTTAAGGGACCCACAGCATTTTGATGCCAGAATCTGTTAAATGTATAGGAATTTTTTTCTACATCAGCACCTTAGGGTGTTTGGCACTTGATTGAATCTGTATTTGTGTGTTTTGATTCTTCAGAATTCATTTTATATTTTGGTTCTTCAGAATTCATTAGGTGCCTTCCTGGTTCAGCAATGCCTGCCAGAGGAAAAGGAGCTGTGAAGGCAAAGAGGTCTCAAGATCAACCAGGGCCTTCCAGTGGAAGAAGGGGATCAGATGGGAGAAGAGGAAAAAAGAAAACAGAGGGAGAAGTAAGCAATGCACTTTTCAAGTGAACAGCAGAACAACATTGCAAGAAGAGGAGTAGCTTCACTGACACGCATTGCGAAGGGTTAATGGTTAAGATTTTTTTAACATTGGTGATAGCTAAGCACACTTGACTCATGAATATATTGTTTAAGCATAGTTCACACAGATGAAATGTACATCTGGAATATACCACTTCAAACTTCAGGTGGGAAAATGACATGCTTAAATTTTCCTTCCTGTAAAATCCACTGGTGTCATGGAAAAGGATTTTAGTCTTCCGCCGGACATGCTAGTTTTATATGTGCTAGGGTGTTAAAAATAGGGAAGCATCATATCATATCATCCCTTTCTGCAGTATGAAATGACACGGGCAGTTAAACCTTTGCCATGATCTCTTAGTAGGTGGTTTTAGATCAATCATTCACATCATCCCTTTATCTGTTATATGAGATTACAATTCTATAGGATTATTGTAATTACAGGCAAAGTGTGCGAGCAAATCTCGCTCATTCAACTTTAGGGTTTCTTGGATGACATGTTATATGGACCCATTTCAGTCAGACTTCTGATCCAGAACTGAAACTGCCTTTACCAAGATTAGTAGAAACAAAAATAGAATTATTAGGCACATAGAGGGACAAAGCCTGCTGAGGTAAAATCAACATGGCTTTTGTAAAGGGACATCCTGCCTCACCAACCTTTTGCAGTTCCTTGAGAAAGTGAACAAGTATGTAGACAACGGTGACCTGGTAGACTGGAGAGCCAGTTTGGTGTAGTGGTTAAGTGTGCGGACTCTAATCTGGGAGAACCAGGTTTGATTCCCCACTCCTCCACTTGCACCTGCTGATGTGACCTTGGGTCAGTCACAAGCTCTGGCACAGCTGTACCTGAAAGAGCAGTTTGTGTCAGAGTTCTCTCAGCCCCACCCACCTCACAGGGTGTCTGTTGTGGGGAGGGGAAGGGAAAGGAGTTTGTAAGCCGCTCTGAGACTCCAAGTGAAGGGCGGGGTATAAATCCAATCTCTTCCTCTTCTTATTATTATTTATTTTCATTTATTATTTGTATTTATACCCCGTCTTGCCTGACAAGCA